GCTGTAAACACTTCTTTAAACACCTGTAAACACATCTGTAAACACACCTGTAAATGCATCTGTAAACACACTTGGAAACACATTTGTAAATACCTGTAAACACAACTGTAAACACATCTGTAAACACCTGTAAACACACCCGCAAACACATCTGTAAACACACCTGTAAATGCATCTGTAAACACACTTGGAAACACGTTACAGCAGACAATCTGCAGCATTTCTGATTGAAAAAAACAAACAAACCAAAAAAAAACCCCACCAGAACCTGTTAAAAGTCCAACACTCCTCCTGTTTGTTTTTATCAGTTCTGGTTTCAGATACGAGTCGGGACACAAGTCCAGCTGATCCGAACAGTCCAAATGTCGTCTTCGACAAGAAGACAAAGAGGCGCTTTTTGGATCTGGGGTGAGACTAATGCTTACTCGGTAAATCGTTCTTCTAATTTGGACCAATTAAAGTTTAGATTATTTTCATATTTTGGTTCAGTTCATATGGATCATGGTTCAGTTTGGGTCAGTTTGGACTGGTTCAGATTCAGTTGAGTCAGTTTAGACTGGTTCCGGTCTAGTTTTAATCAGTTGGTACTGTTTAGATCAGGGCTATTCAACACAATTGCTCAGGGGGCCGCAGTTTCTGAAAGAACAACAGCGATTAAAATCATAAACCAAAGTTTACAATGATTTGTTACCTTTTAAATTGGTTTATTTTATTGCATTGTATCATAAATGCAATAAACAGAACCCAAACCCAGAACCAAAAAAAATTTTTTTTTTTTTTAATGAAGTGGGCCGAAATGAAGTCGCCTGCAGGCCGCCAGTTGATTAACCCTGGTTTAACTCATGCTTGAGACAGTTTGGACTTGTTCAGATCTAGTTTTACTCAGTTTGGACTGTTTTAGACTTGATCAATTTTTACAGTTTAGATTGGGACACAGTCAGACTGAACTAGTTCAGATTCAGTTTGAGTCAGTTTGGACTGGTTCAGGTCCCATTTCTGTCACTTGGAACTGCTGCAGTTTTAGTCAGTTTGGACTGGTTCAAGTCCAGTTTGAGTCAGTTTGGACTGATTCTGGCTTAGTTTTAGTCAATTTCTAGTTAAGATCCAGTTTGAGTCAGATTGAAATGGTTCAGATCTAGTTTCAGTTTAGATTCAGTTTAGGTTCAGATTCAGTTCAGATCCAATTTGAGTCAATTTGAACTGGTTGAAGTTTATATGAGTCAGTTTGGACTTGTTCAAATATAGTTGGAGTCAGTTTAGACTAGTTCAGATCCAGTTGGAGTCAGTTTGGACTAATTCAGATCTTTGAACTGGTTCAAATTGAGTTTTAGTCAGATTAGACTGGTTCAGGCATACTGCATTTGGGGTAAGTTTGAACAGGTTCTGTCAGTATAATTTCCTCTTTGTGTCTTTAGGGTGACCCTCAGACGCTCCTACATCAGAGTGAGGAAAGATAAATCTAACAGACTTTCTGTGGGCAGCAGGTGGGTCGGCACTCTAACCCCACACTGACTAAAACCGGTTCTTAGACTGGTGTTGAACTCATTTCCTGTCCTGACGTTGTCCTCTGGTCTCAGAGAGCCGTCTGATAGTCCGTCTCGCTCCTCCGGATCCTTCGTCTCCTTTTCTTGGTTCACTGAAGGTCGAGGGTCGTTCTCCTCCTCCGGGACTCCTCCATGCTCCCCTAAAACCCCCCAGTCTGGCCCCCAGAGGCCTCGCAAGTCCCGCTCCCAGGTTTTCATCCAGTTTTTATATTTCTTTAATTATTTCCTATTAATCATTTTTTATTTATTTAATTTATTCAAATATCTCTGTGAAGAAAACCCTCAAACTTGTATGCTCTTCATGTTTCCTCCTGCAGGAGTCTGCTTTCAGTGAGGAGTTCTCTCCTCCTCACACATCCTCCTCCACCTCTCCTCCTCCTCCAGACTCCTCCAGATCCTCCCATCCGTACCACACCCTGTCCCAGTCCTCTGACGAAGTAAAAACCTGAACCTGAAAACCCATAATTTATCCAAGATGCTAAGTTTCAGTAGGATTCACCTCTCCTCTTCCTCCTCTTCCTCCTCCTCAGCCTTGTGATGAGCCCTCCCCACCCTCCTCCTCCGTGTCCTCCTGGACGACTCAGCAGGTCTGCCAGTGGCTCCGAAGTCTCCACATGGACCAGTATGTCCCAGAGTTCAGTTCCAGAGACATCGATGGAGAGAAGCTGCTGCAGATGGATGGCAGCAAGCTGAAGGTGATGATGATGATGAAGGGGATGATGATGATGAGGGTGATGATGATGGTGATGATGATAATGAAGGTGATTGTGAAGATGATGATGATGAAGGTGGTGATGATGATGATGATGAAGGTAATGATGAAGATGATGATGAAGATGATGATGCTGAAGGTGATTGTGAAGATGATGATGCTGAAG